CGGAATTCCCCTGTATGCCTCGGGGCTAAACTTTATCGTCCAGCCAATCACCAGGATCACTTCATTAGCGCGGCATTATTTTAAGGTCCGCGCCTAGTAGTGGCGCTCGCGCCAATAAATAATCGGTGGAAATGAAGAAGATCCGTGCGATCGGTTACGATATTACGAGGTTAAAAGCACTTGGTGCGCTGTTGGGTGGGTGGGGCGCGCGCGCGCGCGCGCCAGGGATAATAATTCGCGGCCGATGCCCAAACGGTATAAGTGCTTAGATTGCTGGACCAGGGCCGAAAGAAACATCTTGGCCGAAATGGCCTCCATAAATCGTCTGGACGCCGCTTGTTTATCCAAAATTTCGCTCGTTTATCGGACGATGGGCTCGTCTATTAATAGAGAGCGGGTGGTCGAAGGCCAGCGCCCAGGGGACGGGATGGGAGTGACGACGGTGGCGGGTGAGTCGATTCGGTCTCGCTTAAAAGCTGGACTGCTGCGGGCGCCGGTAGCCCCAACGGCCCTTCGATGAACGTAATATTGTAATCCCTGCTACGTCGGCCCTATATCCCCGCGTCCCGTCTATTTTAGCAAGAGAGCGCTCTCCTCCTCCACCCCCCAAAAATCCTATCGAGCGCTCCCGTGTGAAGGCAAGGCATACCTGCATCGGCAGGAGAGTCGTCGTATTGTCGGACGTCCTGGGTAATTTTGCCGACTCGCGACTTTCCCCGCGGCCATCATCACCCAACCATTTTCTTGCCCACGGCACGTCGATTGCCAAGGGCGACCCTTTCCTTTTCTCAACATTAACGCGACTCAATGCTAATGCTGCCGAGAGGCGGCCGATTGGTGGTCTCGTCGAGAATTATGGCTTGCGAGCGGCGATTGAACGATAAGCCGCGCGCGAGGTGAATTTTTGTTGTTTTGTTTTTTAAGCCACAGGAATAAAGTGAAAAGTAACTCGGCCTCGGCTTCGGGGGAATCGATCCGACGATCCTCGGCTTATTATAGACGCTTATTTCACGTGCGCCCATAATTCGCAGCACCGCACCGGGTCTCTTGTACGTACGTGGGTATTGGGGGCTCGTGCGCGCGAGGCTGTTGCAATTATCCGAGAGCAAATAAAAATGCAGGAGTGCGACTGACAATTTTGCATTTATAATTGCTAGGCTCGTAATCACGGCGAAGAAACGCTTTTTCGAGGCAAAAAACGTCGTTAACCGGTCCCCGTACCGACCTCTATAAAGTATCATTTTATCAACATTGTCATATTACTCTCGTACGTAAGATTGTAAAATTTACTTGATTACCCGAGGCGACGAGGCAGTAAGCGAAGCATAAAAGTCCTTTAACTTTAAGCCTCGATATACAAATGATATTTTAAAGCTGCGACAGGGATATTTCATAACTCGATAAATTCCGAATTATTATAAATGGCGTATTCGAGCGTCGCAATACGTATCACATACATACGACATCGTCTGTGTTATTATTTTCGATATTGAGTGCAATAGAGCAAGCCTCGCCGTCTAAATTGTAATTCTACATGTTGCGCTGCCCGAGCGTAATATTAATCCGTCCGATTAATTAATTAATATTTATAAAACGTTTTTGATTTCGACGATGCCGAATGGTTGGAGTGGTAACGAAAATGAAAATTGATTTACCGAAGATATAACTGGTATTTCTTCGCAGCCGAATCAGTGACGATTTGTTACAGTCTCCTGGTATCGGCGCTATATCGCGTAGATCGCCGATTGCTATTAATGGTTTTACGAAATCAAACGAAAAACAGAAATATTAAAAGTCGACTGTCATTATTATTTATATAAAATGATTATAACGAGCTTAAAATTAATATAAAGCGACAGCTAGTATTTGTTCATTGCTTCATACGTAATTGATGCTCATACTGTCTCATCAATAATCCCAATATTACTTAATTTAATTTCATAAATATCAATATAATGTTTATATATAAAAAAAAAAAATAATAATAAAATTAAAAAAAAAAAAAAACAACAATAATCTATCTATCTAATTGGGAATTCTTACTTTCCTTCAAAAACATTCTCATGTTTTTAAATCTATAGAGATTATTAATCTAATTGAGAGGAGAAAAAAAAGAAAGTATCTAGACACGTTTACCGTTTTTGTTGGGCTGGATTTAGTGGCTACATTACAACTATCAGCATTTGCCATAATTAATCCAGATAACTGACAAAAATATAATATTGCTTATACAAATTTATGCGACATTTGGCAATGTTTAATAATACGTATCTCATTTTGTACAGATATTGTAATTTTATTCAGATTTCATCTTTGTCCACCGCTCTCTCTCTCTCTCTCTCTTTCTCTCTCTCTCCCTCACCCCACCGCATCTCAATCTTCTTTTTTATTTATTTTTATTTTTTTTTCTTCTTAGGAAATACTAGCGTAATATGTCAAGTGAGTTTAACAGCGCCTCCTATAGCGCTCCGTAGCCGCATATAACTCCTTCACGAAGGTGCGGGATGAGAGGGAGGGGTGGAGAGGGATTGGGAGAGGGGGTGAGGGGGGGGGATAAAGAAGAAAAAAAGGAAAAAGAAATGGAAAAAGAAAAGTTGTCCCGAATCGAAAATAATGAAATGGAATCGAATTAATTGCGGCGGGAAATTTATTGAAATATAATATGCTTTATGCTCTTAATACTTTATTTGCAACTCGAACGCGATAAAAATTCCGAGCCGTTCGATTTATTTACGTGATAAAGTAGAAAATACACATTCATTGTATTAGCTTTAAAGTGTTATTTAGCTCCCGGTCGTGAGCAATAACTCTTCCGAAGTAAATAAAGGCACTCGATATTTTGCCAAATGGCCTTCAAGGCGAGCAAATAAATTCCTGTTAAAACTCGCATGCCTTCATCCGCGAATTAAACGCCCGTGGGCTTTTAAGGTCGAGGATGATGGCCACGTTCTAATGGAATGTAACAACAGGCTCGGTCGGCCACCATGTCAGCAACAATGCCGGCAATGGTCAGCGGGGAAAGGTCGCCGCTGTCACCGTCACCGTGAGCAGCCAGCCGCCGTACCTTCCTCGACGAAGTCACACTCGCTCACCGAGAGTCCGTCCCCTCGTTCGCGAAATACTTCAGACCACGACGTCCTCCACGTTCCCCCGGCGATGCTTTTCCCGACCCCCGAACTAAAACCTGTTTCCCCATCTCCGTCTATATCATCATCTTGCCCCGAGACGTCGACCCCGAGACGGCCTGGGGCAAACGGTGATCCCTAGAATCGCGGCGGCGGTGGCGGCGGCCGTGGTGGTAGTGGTGGTGGTGGTGGTGGCAGTGGTGCGGTGGTAGTGCGGTGGTGGCGGTCGTGGCGGTTGTGGCGGTCGTGACGGTGGCGGCGACGGCGACGGAGACGGAGGCATCTTCGGCCAGAAGGAACGGGCGTCGGCCGTCAAGGTGTACCTGGAAAAGGTCGCGCTCGCGATATTCGCGCCTCTTTGTCCGCCCGTCGGGGGGGATCCTCCGAGACCAGAGCACCGGCCGCGCCATTCACTACACTCTCAAATAAAGAAATACATGTAAATAGAGAGTGAGAGTGAGAGTGAGAGAGAGAGAGAGAGAGAGAGAGAGAGAGAGAGAGAGGAAGTAAGAAAGACAGAAGGAGCGTAAAAAAGTGGAGCTGCGCGTCGCGCGACGTGGGCGCCGACGAGGAGCGCGCGGGGTCAGCGAGTGCGCGAGCGAAGGAGAGTAGGGGGCAGCGCGCATTCGGTGAAGGGAGAGAAGACTTTTATTCGGGCGGCCGCCGAGGAAGTCGGCCATTACTAGTGGCCGCGGGGTTGCGCTGCCGTGCGCGCCTGTGTCAGTCGAGCCTCTCGCGCCGTCGGCGTCGCCAGCCTCCTCGTCGGGGACGGATATCCTCGCCATCTCCAGAACCGCGCACCGCCGGTTTCAGCGCGGCCGTGCGGCCGCTCTCCCCCACCTCTACATAAATTATCGAGGTGCCGGGCTTGAGTGCATCGTCGGCCCTCACCCGGACACTCGAGACCGCGAATCGTCGAGGCTCGGGCCTGGAGCCCGGCTGTCGGACAACGTGGGAGAGACGCGGGACTCGCCGGGCCCGCGGGGTGGGGAGCCTGTACCGAAGGTACGATTGACCCCAGGAGTCCGCGTTCGAATTTGCCCGCGACGTTGGACGGTGGGTGAGTGGGGTAGGGGATAGGGCGGGAGAGAAGAACCTATGCCCTGGACAACGGGTCAGCGTTGGTGGCAGCATCGCGTTAAAGCTCCGATTAACGTAAGCGAGCCAACGAGGAAGTCAGTTGATGCATGGTGCCGTGCCTCGACATATTCAAGCGTCGATTAGCGCACTTATCTCTGAAACGCGAGACTCGCGCATACGATTAAATGCCTTAAGTATCTTTAAGCGCGTAAAGTTGCAAAATGACAAGAAGTCTCGGTCGCGTCGTTTTGACGCTTAGGGACGAACGTCGGTATTCACTGGACTATCTCCAGTGACTTCCGCCTACGTGGTTATTGTATTGTGTTTAAGGCTGTGATAGCCTTGCGCGAATTAAGGGATAAGGGCTGGCTTAGGGCTCCGTAAAGTAACGAGCATGGAAATACGCGCTCGCACTTTCGGGGATATTCCGTGGATCGAGGAGTGATTTCGATTTTGCACTCCAACTTGGTCGAAAGTATTATCGCTATGAGCTTCAGCGTTTGGTCCCCCGTTTCGCTGGTTAAGATGATACGTGCTGTGGGTGGGAGGTCGTTAATTCGTGCCGAAATTATGTCATTAGTTACGAGGATATAGAGGTTATAAAGGACAGCTAGTGGGACCGTAGGACAAGGCCGACAATGGGACGTAGGGATGATCGAGAGAACGGGTATTTTAATGACTCGTGCGAATAATGCAGCCACCGAGAAATATCATCGCAACTTAGCTTAGGGAACAGTTTAAACGATCGCGATCTCGATAACTTACTTGTAACCGAACATACATTTGTTATGACAGAGGGCGAGAACCAATCAGGTACAGTCGCAACAACAACAGCAGCAGCAGCATCAGCAGCAACAACAACAGCAACAACAACAACAACAACAGCAGCAGCAGAAAAAATCACTCGGCCGTGATTTTCAGGACGGTAGTCTACTGCCTTCCAAGAAGATCGACGAGTCCTGCAAAATTCACGAGAAGAGGCAGGAATTGCAGGAAGCAATGACCCTGTGCCGGACACGGGTGCCATGGCTCTTCTCCGGCAACCTCTTCATCGGCCTCCTAGGTAAGTAAGTCAGAGCACGGAGCTTTGGAGTCTCGTAGAATTAAAAATTCCATGGATGATGCGAAGCTTTCAAACGACTGTCGCACCTCGCAATTATCCGAATAAATTAAGAAAGTTGTGGCAAGCGATCGAGCTTGATGCTCTGTCGCTTTTACAACGCGAGCTTGATTATTGGGTGATCGATGCCTATGTATTTTCATTATCGGCAAGTGTCGTTTAATGGAGGTTAAAATAATCGTGAACGTTCAGAATGAAATTTGTCTGTGAAAATTAAGCTCCCCGTGAATTGTTGGCCACGCGCAAAAGAGTTTCGGGAAATTAATTGACATTTAAAGTACGTCCGCACGATTGTTCTCGGCTTAATGAGTTCATTGTTCGACGTCGCGAATCTTTGACAGTGCAACGATGTATTTATATTCCATCGCGTTTTTTCCACTAAAAAATACGAGCAACTTCGTCGCCTCGCTATATATTCATTTGCATATTACGCATTTTTCATGCTTATTTTGTGGTTGTTCATTGACACGTCACGTGACGTATTAAGAAAAACGATACTTTATTATCGGCTTTCAACCGAGACAAGTGGCAATAATACGCAAACAAATAAGTATATTATAAGTTAAAGCCTGTAATTAATGATACTCTTACCGTAACTAAAAAACATATGCACTTGTTCCGGCACTTCCCCTTTAAGAAATCAATAGGCATGTAGATTACTATTTCATTACCATGTATAATCCTTTACATGTATAAATATTAAAATTACGAGCTGTGTTATAATATAGTTAATTAATGGCTAATTGGCATTGCAGTTTGCGCACAATATTGTTGAGATGCCTTGAATTTGAATTTGTCGGGAATATTTTTGATAGATCACATTACATTCGCGACTTAATGCATATTTTTCTTATAATTTAACTTTATAATTTCTCGTATGCTCAATTGGGGTTATTTAGACGTGTGATGAATGTAGAATCAATTCATATTATGCAACTAAATGTTATATTTGCCAATGTTAAACGGCCAACGTAATAATGCAATAAAGACTTTTAATTCCATAAAGAATGGCTTTCAAATCATTTTAATGATATAAATTATCCCTCCTAAATTATTATTATAAAATTCGTCGCTAAAGAAAAATATCTAACTACGTTCTTATACCTTCCTCATAATGTTTAACCAACGTTCTCAATAATAATCGTTCGATATTACAAATAAAGCTTCTTGCACTTTAGCGTTAAAGCCGAATTTTTATTCGTAATCGAATCGATATAACGTTCTTTTTGGACCAATGATCTTCAGACGATTATCATTATTGTTGGATCACGGAACGACGTGATCGGACGATACGCAAATACAAATAAGCGAAATATAATTCTCGAGTTCAATATGCTCTTTCCTTAATCTAGCAATTAGCAATGACGTAGAACATTTATCGTCCATTAGTACTTATTCTCGACGACCCTAATAACAACCTTACAAAAGCTTTAATTTTATGTCACGGTAAATAATTAGAATAAGCATCGTGCCAAAAAGTCGTGAAAAATCAATTCAAACTACATCTTACTCCATTGAATAGTCTATCCTTTGAATCTACCAACGTCCATAATATTACAAAGTATAATTCTAAAACATTAATTACATAACGCTCCGAATTTAGGCCCGAGGCCTTGAACGTATAAATTGATCAATCTTTCCTCACATTCAGCAATATACAAACTAGATAGAGGAAGAGAAGAAACGGCTTGGGGAGAGTAAAAGAATGAAAAAAAAAAAAAAAAATTACTACGTACGGACCATCTAAAAATCAAAATCTATTAAAATGTATACCATTAAATATATATATATATATATATATATATATATATGAAAATAAAATTTAAGCCTATAAATGCGTGGGAACGATCGCTCATCAACGACAGTTGATTTCAATTGGACATCTAAACACTACACTAATACACTAATATCGTATCAACCGAGCGCGATTAATGATTGATAGTTTAAGATGGATTTGGCATACTCGGATCTTACGATAATCACCGGCTCGGGGTGCCACAATTTCCCCACAGTTACTCAATATCTAATTGCACAGATGTAATGAATTAGATTTAAATTGACTGGGCTCAGTGGACATCGCCGCAAATCCATTACCAAATCTTCCTATTTGCCGATAACGTATATACGCGTGGCTCGATTAATGCTCGATTAATGCTCGATTAATGCTAGAAATACCGTGACAATGTAAATGCACAGAGCACACGAAGACGATGTGCTAAGCAGCTTCTCTGTCTACGTATACACGACACGGGAAAGCGCCACCTACACCTATCCATAAAAATGCAAATAGCGTTTCTTCTCTATTTGTATGTTAATTAAAGCGCGTAGTAGCAATCAACCCCAACACCCCCCATCCCAACCTAATCCCTCATTACTAACCCCCCTCTTCCGAAATCAAACACAGTTTCACAATGAAAACGAAGCGACTTTTAGGGAAACTCTATGCCTCTTGAGCATTCCCGATAGGGTGGGAGGTTTTTCTTCTTGTTCAACGACTCTTGCTACGCCTGCGCCATCATACAGAAATAACGTCCCCTATGATTATTCTTATTATGGTTGAGCACGTTCCGGCTGATTTAGTAAATTACAATATTCGTCCATTCATTAGTCCCATAAAAATTGTCGTTATTTTTCATTGGAGGCCTTCCAACGGTCTCGTCGCATTGGCTTTTCATTTAAAAGACAATATTGCAAGGTCAATGAGTGCCTCGTACACTTACCGGATCACAATGTGAGTATATACAGTCGATACCCCTTGACATTTCACCATCGCTATTACATTACTTAAATTATTATTTACAATTTATTTTCTCTCGCGAGTTATATTTTATTATTAATATGGGATCTAATGGATCGTATGCTTGAGTGACGATTGCGTAAACATGTGAACTCATAAAAGGGGCCGAATTACGAGGCGCTTTAGTAAAACTCAACATTGTCCTCTCTCTTATCTCGAGCCTTTTTAAATTCATATTATTAATTCGTATATTCAAATTATCAAATGAGCAAAGCCGCGCATATTTTGTAATCTTGAGTAGTTTGGAAAGCAGCGGCTGAATAGTTTTTACCTTTCACGAGTCAATTTTCTCGCTATAATATTTATCATATGTGTTTACATTGCAATTGCAATTATTTGCGAAGAACGTTAAGTTTTTAGAAAGAAAAAAAAACATATCCAATTAACCATTTAAAGGTAAAGACTTTTTTAATCGTAAGTAGTTGTACATATGATACACTAACATTATCGCTTCAAATTAGCCTTATAAGATGACAAATGCAGTTCTAAGGCAGTTTGAAGGCAGCTTGAAAGTAATCGTAATCATTTGAAAATAGATAGTACTTAATAGGATATAACAAACTCCGTAGAGGCGGTAAATTTTGATTAAATCTATTATTAATAAAAGATAAATTGTATGATAATATCATCATACCCTCCTCGATGCTTCATTCGAAATAAAATTCTAACATCCTTATTTAATGACTTTAATCTGGTTTTTAACAATATTGGTTTTAGCATTTTTATATAATTCCTATTTTCCCATAGGCCGTCGTTATGTTCATTACCGTTTTGTTAACGATAAGACTTTTGAAGTACTTATTAAAATTCAAAATAGCCATTAACTTGTTAAAAGTTTTTTGTACGTTTATTATCCGATTTACCATATATGATTTATTATTTATTATTCATATTTAATATGCTTATTTTTCAAATTATCTTTTACATTCCGATTAATATTTTAATATTATGGTCAATTTTATTTTTTTACATTTTATTAATAAGTAACTCTAAAATTTTAGAATATCTATAATTTTATATATATATATATATATATTTGATAAAATGTGACAAAAAGTAGATAACAATAGTAATTTAACAATGTTAATAATTCAAGGGATATAAAATTATTATTTTGTCCCGTATAAAGCGGGCGGGATGCAATTTTCCAAACTAATTTATAATATTATTAATATTAATATTTATCAAATATAGAGCGCACAAATTTCGTTTATTCGGTAATTATTACGTAAATAATATTGTACATCAAAAGCGTCTTCATTAATCTAGTGAACGCAATGTTTATGTGCATTAAATGCTGAAATTTTACTGAATCTGTAAATAAAATTAAAATTCTTTTGAAGTGACTTATCAGTTTAAATTATTATTTAAATTATCGAAATCCTAAATTTATCACTTGTTGCATGTTTATATTTTATTTTCCACTTTCATTCTCGGATAAATAATATTGATACCAAATCATAAATATTCATAATTAAACTAATCATAATTAAACTAATGAATTAAAATTATATTCCACAATTTATTCTACTTACATTTCGAGGAAAATTTTAATTTATAGTCGCACGCATGCGCACACGTGCACACACGATTAAATAAACAAACAAATACATATGCGGTCGTAGGTATATATGCACGCAAATGTACAAGCAGGTTGATGTACCATATATATAGATAGATAGATAAATGTGTGCTAAATATCTTTATTCCTTTTGGAAATGGAAAGGAAGGATGTTTTATAAAAAAAAATTAATAGAAAGAAAGAAGGAAAGAAAAATGATATTACTCTTTATGAATACAATTTCATTTTACGCTAGAGTGTCCTCAAGTTCAGAAATAATATTTCTATAGAATGGTTTAGCGCATGAATGTCATTGTGCATATTAATTAATTGTATTTCTATATAAACTGTAGTGAAGCTAAATCGTAGAGAACCTGCAAGATTGATTGAATTTAAATAATCATATCAGTGTCGTTCTATTCCAATAATAAACATTTTTAATTATATCTTGTATAGTAAGAAATTTATATTTAAAGTTATATTTATAAATTTTGTATTTATACAAGATAATGCATCGATATTATAAATTTTGTAATAAACATCGTCATCGTGTTCAATCTACTAGATGCTTATCTACTTTAAACATATACTAAGGAGTCATATTATTATGGATCCTGGGGATAGTTTATTTAAACAGTTCGGTGCTTCTAATTGGAATGAGAAAATTCCCTTCCAGGCAGAATGGATGATTATTGGAGTCGTTGATAATATAATATATTTATAAAGCTAATTAAGTCACAATTATATTTCCTATTAACTTCTACTAAGTTATATGAAAAACTATGAAATATATAAAATAGCGATGCAAATATTGATAAATTCTATTTTCAACATTTTGCCAGCACAGTTACGATTTGATATGAATTTGCTTGTTTATGAGATCCATCAATTTAATGCATTTAACACTGTTAAATTTTTATTTTTAAATAAATAATGATATAAACACATAAATAGAATTCTATTAAAATTTCATGTTTAACTGTCTTGTATTTTATTGATATCAAAATTTGCCTAATAAGGTGTGATATTAATTTTAAAATGTGATATTTATTTAACAAAAAATAAAAGAAAAAAATAGTAATATTAACTTATATTATTTAGAGAAAGTACTATTTTGTTCAAATGCTTACTATTAAGAGGAAAAAAAATTTTAATTGAAAAAATCTCATACTTTTCATCCATCTGCTAAATATCTCAATATCATTTGATTAAAAGAGCACGATCAATCCTTAGTAATTTCAATTATAAATGAATGTTAGTTTTTTTGCTTAAGAACTGCCATAATGAAATGTATAACAATATACACATACGCGCGCACGCACGCGCACGCACACACAAAAATATTTTTTGAATAAATCATTTTTTTAATAAAGGTAATTGCTCTCGTCTATATAAAGTTATAATTTTGGAAAAACTAATGTGAAAAAGAAAACGAAGAGAAGAAAAAAAAAACAAAAAATAATTGAGAATGAATGAACAGTGCTCGTTGAAATGAATTAGTCGGTAATTCATTATTATTTATGAAATTGAATTTACAAGGTATATGATGGTTTTTATTTTTCTCTTTAGTATCGACAATAATGATTCTCGGGGAGCTTGGGTTCATTCCCAGTCAAAAAATTGGCTTCTACTGCAACGATCCAAAAATTTCCTACAAATTTACAGGAGACACGGTGTCGTCGGTTATGCTAATAGTCATTACCGTAACTCTGCCCGCACTGGTGGTAAGCCCGATTAATAATTCATTCCAAATATTTATAATTTTAAATTAACATTTTTTTTTTTTTTTTTTTTTTTTTTTTTTTTTTGTTAGAAATGTAATTAAATTCAGAGCTTGAATTATTTGCCAATTCATTTCATCGTCCAATCATCGTATTATCAATTATTTAAAGCTGTTGACTAAACATGCTGGAATATTTTTTTACTTTCTGATTAATAATTTGGTTATAAAAAAGCATTAACCACTTTTTTTTACACTTAAATGAAATATATTTTTAGTAGAATTTTAATGCAACATAATAATTCAAATGTTCATCTTTTTTTTCTTCTCTTGTGCCCTCGACGTTATCATTCAAATAAATAATCCTAAAATTTCAAGGACTCTTTTGTCTTGTTTTGTTATGTTTTTGTTTTTTTTTTTTCATTCTTTTAGTTCGACTATCTGTGCATTAACGCATTCGTCATTACAAATTATCATCTTATATTTGTCGAGATTAATATACTATTGAAAAGTGAGCGAGTTTTTTGTTTTATAGAAAATTGTATCATGAAAATTTTCTTCGCTATAAAACGAGGTTTTTAAATAAAAAAATGTACATTCGTATTATAAAACTCATTAATTGTTGACAAATGTACGTGCACAATCATAGCATAAAATCTGTGGTATTTTAACATAGTCAATATTCGATAAAGATTAATTTTTGTAATCTGATTACCACTATTTTACTCACGAGATTTATACCGCGAATTTATTGATATGTGTTTGTCTTTCTTTTTGTTTTTTTTTTTGTGTTTTTTTTTTTTTTAATTGTTGTTCTTGATAGGAATTTATAAATATGTGTAAAGAAAAATCAAGTGTTTATAAAAATATCTATTACAAATACCTATATTGTACAATTGGCGCAATTAAGTCGATTGATGAAGTAAAAAGTACGAAATTCACGAGTAACGTAGGATCGTATTTATCATTTTTATTCGACATAAATATGCCCAAGTAATTAAAACTTAAAGTCTTTACTTTAATTAAAATCTATCCTTTATTTCTGCAAATATTATATTTATTATATTCTTATCTTTGGCATAAGAATGTCATTTAACGTATGCTTAAAATAAATTAAAACTTAAAAAAAAAAATTTTTTTTTTTTTTTTTTTTTTTTTTTAATATATAAACATTCGGATTTTGCGAGTATAAAGAAGTTTGTTGGCGAAGCATAGTTTTCGCGACTAGAAAAGCATTGAAGAATATTAAAATACAGTTTATATTCTTACGTATACATAATTCTCAAATAATAAGGCTTTGAATTTAAATGCGTTAGAGGATTTATATTTCTCAAAAAGATTCAGAACTCCCTGAAAGATTCGATAAATCCGTGTGAAAAAGAAAAGAAAAAATTATTTACGAACGCTTATCTCAGTGTATTCCATTAACTATTTTTCATCAAGTTTTTTCTGCAAATAAAAAAAAAAAACAACAACAAATCAGACCATTTTTTATAAAATCAAATTCCAAATTGCTATTTAATTTTTATTTATAATAATGGGATAAAAGGGGAATAATGATTGGAGGTCGAATAAAACAAAATTTTGAATCATTGAATATTTAATAATTAACAATGAGTATCAGTCTTGGTATTGGAAAATTTTCAACATACCTATTAACAATATCTTTTATTTATAATATTAATTGATAATCATAATTAACTATAACCCCTTTAGATAAAGTCAATTTCATCAACGTAAGTTGCAAACAATGATTGACTTGATAGTTAGGGTGAAGCAGTGGTTAACTCAAGCCTTCAAAATTTCTAATTCAATTGAAAAAACAAACCGACTTCTCTCTCTCTCTCTCTCTCTCTCTCTCTACCGCCCTCTGTCTCTTTACAGATGTGGGTTACGGAATTGGCTTACTACAACTCGGACAGTTACAAGAATTTAGAGTGCAAATCAAGCTCGAGGAACCGACAATTTTGGCAATGGTATGGCTACTATACACTTGGATGGTGGTATCTTCTCTTTATCGTCGAGATCCTGAAAGTTGTCGTCGGGGAACCGAGGCCCCACTTTATTGACTCATGCAGGCCCAGAGAAATCACCAACTGCACCAACGAGTCTGTATTGCCTTAATCTAGTCAATTTTTGGGCGACGGTGCGCTACATGTGCCTTACGAATGCTCGGCGAAATTAGAGTGTTTTTTTATCGTACCCGGACCTTTCCTTCTCGGATTTTCCATAAAAATTTAACTTATAAAATGCCACGGCTGTAGGAGTAGAGCTTTAAAATATAATAGTACCAATGATGAAATTTACAATGCGGTTTCTCTTCCCCATTACATGCATTTATTGCCCAATTCTATGAAGTAAACAAAAGAAGGAGAGAAAAAAATACCAAGACTTTCATAATTACACAATGAATAACTTAACGCTATTCATGAAATAATATACTTTAACTTACGAGTGCTGAAAACTAATGCGCATATTAATTTGAAATTGTCGAATACCATTTATTTCTCTTCGTTAGATGTACCACAAATTCACAAGTACATTTTTTCTTCAATTTCATTTAGATATAGAAGGTTATACACATGCACCAATACGGAATTATCCTGGTTTTATGTCAATGACTCCGACAAGTCCTTTCCTTCTGGACACGCTGCAACTTCTATATTCACCGCAACGTTTTTGGTTGTAAGTAGCTTTCATGATTTTTGAAGCTCATTATTAATGCATGAACGAGCCTTTCAATAGAATACATCCGCTATTCCAAAAACAAAAACAAAAAAAAAAAAAAATCCCTCCCTCCATTGCCCAAGTCATTCGGCATTTCGGAACATCGAAAACTTCTCTCCAAGGCATATAATTAAATAAATATGCAAAATCATGGTGACCAATTACTTTAGATCGGAATTTAACGAAAGAGAGAGAGAAAGAGAGAACAAATTAAATATAAAATTTTTTAAAAATTAATAAAATAAAGATTAAATATATTGCAAAATAACGTCTGGCTAGCTTTTAGTCTTTTAATAGCGAATAAGGAAAAAGGGCTTCTCCAAGCGTTTCAAAGCAAACGATATATAGTCGACCTAAACTGCACCAATAATGCATATTAAAAATATGCGTCATTACAAATGACATTAATTATACGTTAATATCTATTTTCAAAATCATTAGCGTCTTAACCAAACGACATTCATACAAATTACAGTACGTGCATTCGACACGCATACTTGTATTTTCGAAATTCGTTTCTTCGCAAAAAATACATCTTTCACAATGTAGCTACGAATAATTTAAATATCCAGTCCGCGTTGACGAGCGAAAATTAAATTCGCAATGCAACAACCTTACGATTCATTATAGAACAATCAAAAAATAAAAAAATAAAACAAAAAAAAAACAAAAAAATGATAGTAAATAAACAAAAAATATATAAAAAAAAAAAAAAAGAAAAAAGAAATAATAGAGAGAAAGAAATACTCGCAACAAAGGTCGCGCTTTTGTATTATTTGTACATGTATGTATGTATATATATATATATATATACATATATCCTACATACCGAATTCCTCGAGTCTGCACGTCATTTGGTCACCAAGGACGGTCACGGCAATTAATTCTCTACCATGGCGTCGCTCGGTCGTGACTATCGGACGCGCATCGACCGAAAAAGAACAAAAACGAGTCGGAGAAAGCGTAGAGTCAGCGCGAGAAAGAGATGAATCGGAGAAAGAAGGAGATTGTCCGAAAGCATTCACCGACCGCAATTCCTCGCCTTCATCTCCGTACAGCAACCAGCAGCCACAATGTCCCACCCACCACCTCCCACACATGTCGTCGAGACACGCACGTACTAAAGTCAGTTGACTCCTTGGGGACTCGCTAGTGGTACATGCAGAAGCGCATCCCGGATCAGCTCGTAATGATACTGATAAAGCCGTGGCTGCAATGCCTGGCGATCCTGTGGGGCATTTCCTGCTCCATGTCGCGGATAACCGACAACCGACATCACTGGTGGGACGTTGCGTGCGGCCTCATCCTAGGTGTCGGCTTCGGCGTATTCGTCGTGTGCGTTCTCTGCAAGCAGTTCAGCCCGATGACGAGCGACGCGGAAGTCGGGCCCACTGCCAAGGGCGCCGTCAATCCCATGAGCTACGCAAACGCCAAAAAGCGTCACCAGAGCGTGAAGAAACTGCTGAATGACGGGAACGGCCTTAACGGTGAAACACCCGAGGGTAGGGAACTCGGGGACGTGCACGGGACCTGGACAGCTTAATTTGGATATTGGAGCCCCGGACGACGCTGTTGTTACTTAATATGGAGAAAAAGGAGCCCGTGAAAGAGAGAGAGAGAGAGAGAGAGAGTATGGAAAAATAACGGAAGGGCGAGTCTTCCATCGTGTGTTTTGGACGGAGTTTCTTAAAAATATTGAACCTTACGCTGTAATAATATTCTGCTTTTATTATCGTTCATTTTTATACTTGTCTGTGAATTTTTTTTTTTGTTTTTTTTTTTTTTGAGCGAAAAAATGCGGCTCCTATGAAAATAGTCGCTATTGCGGCATATTTTCATGTATATAGTAAAAAAGTTGCGCAGCGACGGCGCATTTTCTCGATAGCCTTCCTTCTCCCTTCGGTCTACTCGTACTTTTAGGCAAATGTCTATATGAATAGCTCGTGAAAATTTTTATCCGAAAATGGAAGGAGGAAATTTGTATTTTCTATAGTGTAGCGGCGTATTACGTTCCAAAGACGCCTGCGCTTAGGCAATTTCAATACAAATCTCTGTATATTTTTAAGAAACGTCGGGATTCGTAGCATTGCGAAAGTTCTCTGCATTCGAAATATCTCCATCAATCACTAGTATAAATGTTATATGATAAATAAATTAATTGATATGCACTATTGGCTTAATTAATGATAATTTATTTCACTGATGGTACGGATGCTCGTATTTTAATCAATCAAATTAACCAAATTGGCGATAGTGTATTTATGCATTATTGCACATACAAAAGAATTAAATAATTAAGTAAAAATTACAAAACATCGTGTAATAATATGTGCCTTTGCTTATTAAAAAGAAAAAAAAATTATTAAAAACGATATCGTGCAACAAAATCACAGATTAGTATTTCTTAAATTAAAGTACATTAAATCTATTTTTCATAATCAAACGTTAAAATTGAAAAGATAACAAAATGTATAGAGCGATGATTGTTTGGAAGCTCTATATATAGATTTTATAATTTTATAAAAATATTATTGTTATATACAAATTCTTAACAAAATGAACGAAAGTATTCTTTGACGCTATAATATATTAATTTCATGAAAACATTTACGAAATTCATATTATGAAAAATACAACGAAGCTAAATTAAAGATAACGAATTAAATTTAAGAAAAACATGGAATATTTATATATTTTTTGCATTTGCAATAGTCTTTTGTAATGTGTTTTAAAATATTATTATTATTATTATAAATATTTTTCTGAGTAATAGTGGGCTTTTGGCTTTTGGAACTGACTATAAGAAACTTTTTTGTAAATTATATATATATTGAAATACCCACGTTGATATGTTAGATGCCTAGGATTAATACGACAATTTACATTTATTAAAAAGGTACATTAAATTTAATCTTTCCAAATGCATAATATAAATATTTAGTAGTATTTGAATTTATGTTTTTTATTATTTGTTATTCAAAATCATTTTATGTTATTAAGCATTTACTAATGTATTAAATCTATTATATATATATATATATATATATATATATATATACACAGAAGAATTACAAGTATAAAAATATCCATGTTCTCTAATGTGCGCAATATGATTAAAATCCCGAATGTTGACTACTTACTATTTAACGCTATTTGTTAAAGTAGTATCGGATAATTATGTACACCGAGAAAAATCACATTCTTAAATAACTGATTTTATTGAATAGACAATTTTTTCAAATGTTTCAATGTTTTCATATGGTATTATATTTCCAGGTTGTTTGACGATATCTGGATTATTTGATGCTTGAAAGTACAATATACAATTAATTTTCACATTATAAATAATTGTGGTGCGCCAGTACCATCTTTACGTTTTATACAAATACGTAATATTTCCTATAATCATTAATTTTATGATTAAAGTATGTATAGGGTTATTATAAATTATATTCAACGAAAAAAAATATTTAATTATAATAATCGAGCTTAAATTAAAAGATTTGTTCTAAAATCGCTATAAATAATGTACACTGTGTTACTTTACAAAGAAATTGTTTAATTTATTATTCTTTTAATATTACAGTATTAGTGTTTACATATACGTTGCAACGTTGCAGACATATGATAGGTAGCTAAGGCTTACGAAATTGCTTATTTTTCTCAGTGCAAATGACAACAGAAGATACCTAAGAGTCGAATCGCGGATATTTTAACATAATTTTGTTATATATTCAATGTTCATTTAATTTACCGAAACACTAGATGATGAAAGACGTCGAAACTGAGAGAACCATTGTACGAAATTTTTAATGCCATATAAAACTTGGCTTATTTTATGTAAATACAATTGAGAAAACAGAATATTTTTATATTAAATAATGTAATCGAACTAGTTTTAAGTTTCGTATAATTTATTTATTACTATAGATATTTGAACAATTTTTGAATAGTGATATCTTTTTTAATTTACGGATGTATATTTAATTATGTTATAAAACTTATAAATCTTATATATGTATTAGGCATTATATAAATGTACCCATTAACAAGAATCTTTCACAAGGAAATGGCCGATAGAGAAAAATATTTAATATGAAGTTTTAAAATCCCATATGTGTTTAAAAAATTTTTTAAAAAAGGATTTATTTTTCAAATATTTAAGCGCAAACTGCCATATCACTTATTCATAGAGTATCTGTCATGTGCATTTTTATACACACTTATGTGAATGTTTATATATATATATATATATATATATATATAAACATATGTATATATACATACATCATGCGTACACGCACGCACGCTACATTGAAAAAAAATGGAGCCTACGAGATGTCGACCACTGCTTTTTAAGAGAAAAAAATGTATGTTACATGCCTTTATTTTTCATCCTTATCAATGTACTAAAGTTATATGTACCAACAATTTCTGTCTAGTTTGAAAAAATTTGAAATATAGCAGTAATACTTTTTCTAAAAAAAAAAAAAGAAAAAGAAAAAACAAAGAAAAACAAGCAGCACAACGTTGTTTAGTTCTGATTAAAGAGCAACATACCATATCATCAAAATTCCATTATTTTTATTCTGTACTTCGAATTACATTTATATACATTTATACATGTGTGTGTGTGTGTGTGTGTGTGTGTGTGGTGAGCGCGCGCGTGCGCGCGTATCTGGCTATGTCTGTGCGCCTGAGTGTCAGCCTGTGTGCGTGTGCGTATTTGCCTACGTGTCAGCCTCTCTGTGTGTATGTGCGTGCGTGCGTGCGTGCGTGCGTGCGTGCGTGTGTGTGTGTGTGTGTGTGCTCGCGCGCTTGTCTGTATTGCATGCGTATGATACTTTCACATCTGCGTTCAAGAAATTTTTTAAATTGTGGCCTACTATATTATCAATTAATTACATTGTATAAATTAATCTAAATATAACTATATTACGAAAAGATCGTACGTAGGCAGACTAACATATCAATCAATGTCGTTTTACTGACAAACACAGTTGATTTCGCATTCGAATAGTATTAGAACGAATTGTTATAATATTTTTAGATATTCGAATAATTTCTTGATTAAAACTTAGGATACCAACAAATACGTTCACATTATTATTGTTATTGTTGTTATTATTATTATTATTATTATTATTATTAATTATTAATTATTAATTTTTATTATTACCATTACTATTATTATTATGTAGTTATTTAAGTAATGCATGTATTGGAAATATGTAAAAAAAATGTCATTATTCCTAATTGATCCTTCGATGATACGTGTAAAGGATAAATAGTTTTCCAAAAGATTGTATTTATTTAGTAGTGAAGCTATGGACAACGCATGAGGGTGTGTACGCGTGTATTGTAAAAAGCCTTTATTAATTAAAAGTGCACTTAGTAAAAAAAAGTTATAATTATAATTTTATGGCTTGGTTCCATAACGGGACATATACGTTATTTTTTTAAAACGATATTTATGACCCATGTAAGCATAAAACTTTGGAAATTTTTTATGCTATTCTTTAATGGAATAAACGACTTTTGCACAATTATTTTTTAATCATTAATTCGTCCCCCTCGTACATATACCTTATAAAATATCCTCGGAATATCTCAATTGCCGATCAAATAGTTCCGATAAAAGTTAATATGTTGCCGCTAAATTATCAATTATCGAATACTATCGAAGTTTATTATTTAATTCTACCCATACTTGCGAATTCTTTTTTAATTTTTCATTTTTCTTTATTTCTTCATTTATCAAAATAGTGCCAATTTTGTTAGCTTATATTAATGATAGTGCGTCTTAATTAAAAAGTAACGTACCGCCAAAGCAACCTTAACTCACGAATTCGTCATCAATAATTATACTTTCTTTCTCCCAAAATCTATCATAAAAAATGTAATTTATGAAAATTTGTTCGATAGAAATCCCTATCCATATCTACCCTCTCTAAGATCCCGCATAATTAATTATTTATATTGAAATAAATACTCCGGTGCTAAAACGTGCAGTCATCGCACACTAATGAACTTCGACAATAGCTAGGAGGTCCTTACAATTGCATTGCGTACACACACACGCGCGCGCGCGCACGCACACACGCACACGCACACGAACACGCACACGCGCGCGCACACAAGAACACGTGATAAACAATTATAAATAAGCGAGGAGCGAAGTGGACGTAATGGAGGAAGGACGGGAGATGCGCGATTCGGGCGAGTCTTATTGTAACGAATGCAATGGCACACTTCTTATAAGTGAAATAAATGTCCCCAACGCGATGCATCGATCAACACATTTTATTTCAAGCGGCTCTTATCGCAATACACCGCGCACTATAAAAACGCCGTCACCCGTTCGCCTACAAAAGGGAAATCAAACGAATTCCGATACATCGATCCCACCAACAATCAAGATTCCGCGATGAGTAATAAAAAGCGCATCGATATACATGGGTGGAAAGAGGGAGAGAGAGAGAGAGAGAATGAGAGATTGAGAGAGAGAGAGAGACAGAGAGAGAGAGAGAGAGAGGTGTGAGGAGACGAGCATCGACGATCGCGAGTAAAGTGCAAAGCGCTCCAAGTATACTCGGGGTCAGCGCGCGG